CTGTGGCGTAAGTTGCCTCGTACAATCAACTAAATCAAAACAACAAATAGGAAATTATATTTTCATTGAGTTTAACACAACATATTTTAAATAAATAGATGTATGAGCTTCAATACCTTAATTTCTACATATATTTTATCAAAATAATACATTTCCATAATATACGGTCAAAGTTTAAAAAGTTTGACTACAAACGTCAAACTTAGAAATCAAACACAAGACGGAGGGAGTATTATTCATACTTATAAAAGATACTCCATACGTCCACGAGTATTTACCATATTTGTTTTGCTATTAATAACGGCAAACTTTACCTCCCCCAATATTAAAAATAATTAGAAATTGAAACAAATTTTTTTTTGTATTAGATTTATTATAGTAGATTATTATTAAAATATTATATCAATTACTATATACATATATATATACCCCTCCATCCTGAAATTAATTTTCCACTTTGACTTTTGAACTCAAAGTTTATAAACTTTGACTGCATATTACCGAAAAAAATATTGAATTTCCATATAAATTTAGTATGAATAGATTTATTGTAAAAGATAGTTTTGAAATATATTATTTTGATAATATATATTGAAATAAAATAGAGATATTAAAGGGCCAAGGTGCCGCATTGTAGACCATGAAAAGTCAAATGAGAATTTAGTTTTAGGACGGGGGAGTAAAAAAATTTAAATTAAATTACGCCAGAATTTTCAAAAAAATGACAAAAATTATTTAATTTTGACAAATAATTAGGGACGAAGGTAGAAGTACGTAAAGAACTAACCGTTTGTAATGTCATTAAGGCAAATCATTTGAACATGAGATAAACTTAAGGGGCTTTGAATATGAGAAGAACACAGGTGCATCGTACTTTGTACATTTGTACCTGTAATAAAATTATTATTTAGAAAAAAACAATTCATAAAAAATATATAATGATTATTAGCATTTAAAGATTTTCCTTTTTTAAACCTTTGAAATTTTTAAGTAGAATAAAGCTACTTGTACCCCAAATTTTTGTACCCATTTGTACAACGCAGGTTTGCACCGACATTCTCTGTCGGTGTAAAACTAATTTTTATTAACGCACCAACATTTGGTGTCTGTGTAAATTTTTGTTAATGCACCAACACTTGTGTCGGTGTAAACCATCAAAATATTTGTGCATAACTGCAGTGTATAAATGGGGTACAAATTTTGGTGTAAATGTAGCATGGTTCTTTTAAAATTCACAAGTATTCTGGTCTAATAAAAGCAATTCCCCCAATGCCCATGTTTCATTTTAACCTGGCCCAACCCAAAATCTTTCATACTAACCTAATTCCTCACTAATTACTCCGCACATTCTCACGTTTCTCCCACTCTCATCCGCCGCTGTGTTCCCCTACCTTATCTTCCTGTCTCACTTCTTTATATTATTTAACCGGATTTTAATCTCTTTCTGCCTAAGAAATCGAAGGATCAAGTCCGCATGTCCTACTTTTGGATTGTTCTTCTTTGTATGTATTTCTTCCTTGTTCTGTTTTGAATTTTTTTTGTTTTTTCTGGAATTTGTTTTCGTTTTTCTCACGCAGATTTGATATACTATCTCATGTTTTTTATTTTCGGAAACATATAATGGAATTGATTCAACATAAATACTTTAAAATCTTCAATTTTTCTTTAAGATTTTCGATGACTTTGAAGTTCATACATTTTTTCTACGATTTTGCGTAGATCTATATGAGATGATGTTATTTTGTTTACTTTGAATCATGATTCATTAGTTTACAGATCCATGCACCGAAATATTATTTCGTATTTTTTTTTTTGATTTTTGTTACGCAGATTTGAAATCCTATCTCATATCTTTTTTCGAAAAATATAATGGAATTGATATGTCATACATACTTAAAAATCTCCAATTTTTCATGCAGATTTTCGATGACTTTGAATTTCATACATTTCTTCTACGATTTTGCGTAGATATGTATGAGATGAAGTTATTTTGTGCACTTTGAATCATGATTCATTAGTTTACAGACCCATTTACCATAATATTTTTTCGTTGAAATACGAATACATGAAAAATATTTTAATTTTTAATTTTAAACTAATACAGATCCCTGATATTTTAATTTTAATAATTTTTCCTTGTAAAAGGACTACAGATCTCTGATATTTTAAATTTTATATACTCTCCCTCAAATTGCATTCATAGTCCCTACTTCTATATCTGAATAACATTATTCAGGAAACTAAAACTGCTTCATGTGATCTGATTTTTCAATTATTATCATTTCATTAAATTTTTTACGGCTACAGAACCTACATTTATACTTGAAACCCGGTATGTTATATGGTTTTTGTTGTTCTTTGTAACTCATATTTTTTAATCTGAATTGTCACATTCTGACAATCTACCCAAGAATAATACTTTTAATTTTGTTTACAGGGGCATTTTTATTGAAATAATGTAAAGTTAAAATGTAAGTAATTTCATATGAGCTGCATATACTCCGTATTTTTTTTAAACATAACCTGTTAGATACTAATTACTGAATACATAAACCTCTAAATGCTTTTACTTTTTATTTCAGGTTTGATCCTTTTTAAAGTACTCCTCGTGATGAAAGTGAGTGTAATTATAAACTCTTATTTTAAATTAATTTGAAGAAATTCTGAAAACTTAACTTGCGAATTAACAATTACTCTTTCATGTTTCCCAGATTTATCCCAAGCAATAATGTTAAGAAAGGCAAGTAAGTTGTTTTATTGTTTCTACCAGTAAGCTAAATCCAAAGCTATTCATGTCTTGAATGACAACCCCTCTGTGCTTATTCAATCTTAATCTTTTCAATATATATACCTAAATAAGTATGCTTAATAACAGAACGCATGAATATAGAGAACTTTTGAAATATGTTTACTAAATGAAAGACATAAATTATTATACGTTGTGTGAATTGAAGCTTGTGTACCTGTGTTTGTATGGATTCTCTTTCTTTTCCCCCATCTCTAGCACTGGACAATGAAGTCTTCATTTTTAGCTCAGTGTTAGGTGTATGGCTCTCTAGATTTTAACACTGAAGTAATACAACACCATTGCTACGTTATATCTTTTATATATATATATATATATATATATTTATATATATATATTTCTATATATATACATATACGTATATATATATGCATGTATATATATACATAGGAATATACAGTAAGGGTGTCCACCATTGGTTTTAGTTTATGCATGCCTGGAATTTTTGTCCAGGGGTTATTCACTATTGAGAAATACCATTTACTAAGTCCAAAAAATTGTCTTCTCATGTATACCCACTAAGCTGATACATTGAATGTTTTCAAATTTCATGAAACTACTTTTGATGTTTTAAAATGGGTGTTCAGTAAATTTTTTAAATATTACACCAAGTAATTTTTCTTAAAACATTTTTTTGGTTATAAATTTTCTTTAACCACTCTTTTCTAAAGTCAGTAGAGTTCATTACCTTAAACTTAAAAAAGAAATTTTAATAAGTTTAAATAAATACAATCTTCAAATTCCTTTGAACTAAATCAATATTTGCATGCACTGCCCCAACTTGTCACATGTTTTTTCATACACTACAATTTAGAAACTACACTTTTTATATATTTTACCATGCCACGTATTGATGTTTTTCATGTCACTTTCCATGGTCAATTTTAAAACTCACGTTTTTTTTATTTCATGCACACTTTTTTTTTACATTTTATCAAAATGTAAAACTTCAAACATCAAAGATCTCTCCTCTTCCATTATTTAGGCTTTTATAATATGATCTCTACTTTTTC